GAACTTCATTAATTCATTATGCGATGATCTAATTGGTTTCTTACAACCATACACATTGATTCAGCTTTGCATTGTTTTTTTTCAGAACATACACGTATGTTTTTACTTATGGCGTGATTATAGTTTCATAAAGCAATTCTATTTATTCCGCATTTGCAGAGGATGCCCATGCCGGAAAAGGCCCTGGTTCGTCAACTAAAAGGTTCTTTTTTTCATTTCTCCATTATGTTTTACTTATCTTATTTTAGACATTCACATTGAGTCAGCACTTGCAACTACATTGTTATGTGGACTGAGTTTGTAAATTTAAGCCGTAGACTATACGAATGCAATATTCTAATTAGATTCTGACTCAATGTCTTCAGATTCTGGTTGGAGCTAGTTGATAAGATGCCTGACAACCCAAAAAGGCTTGTATTTGAGAGCACTCAACAGTAGTCAGTACATGTTTTTTTTTTATTTTAGTGGCCTTTTTCATGTGTTGTCCTGCTTTTCTCTGTACAATGATGCTAATGTGATCATTGCCCATTTAGGTATGAGGTCCCTTTGCGACAAGACAAGAGGTTACCCTCCTCTCCTTGTAGAACCTCTGCATCGGCTCCACCAAATAGAGGTGCAAAGGGGAATGGCTGTACTATAATTTTAATCTGTTGCAGTATGGAGTTAGTATTTTACAAATGACTAGACAAAATTAGATACATTCATTTACACCTTATCTAATCTTGTTTATGATTTTTTTATTTATATTTATATGATCTGATGTATGTACACATAATTAGAGAATAATTTAATATTCATGGATTTTAAATTTTGCTATCTTAAATTTCTATTATTCTTTTCATTCCACTTCGACTTGTCCTTTTGTTAAATAACACTTTTCATCTTGTTCTGAAAGCTCACAAGATTTTTCTATTCTTTAAAATCATCTACCTTTGTTGTTTATTATTTTCCTTGTCGGGTCACGACAGTGACGACGACGACTTCATGCCCATTCCCAATACCCGTTCATCCTCACACATCGACAAATCTAAGGATGTTGGTCCGAGGAAAACTAGGCAAACACGAGCAGGATTGTCGACCGGTGCATGTACAGAGGTGTATACCATTTATTTACTTCTGCACTTTCTTTTCATAAGAGTAATCATTCTAAAGCTCCTCTTCGTATGTATCACTAGTTTGTTTTTTCCTTCAATATACCACAAATCTACTATCATGTCTTTGTTGTCAAATCTCTACTTTTCTATATCTGTTTTGCTTTCTAATACCCCTGCAATTTTTTTAACTACACTATCCCTGCATTAGTTTATCATTCCTACATCCCTTTCCCCAATTATTAGTTTTTTTTAAATCTGTCTTCTTCTCGACTACCCATGCATCAGTTTATCATTTCTACGGTGCTTCCCAGAATTCCGAGTGTCTCTTCTTTTTTATCCATTCTTGTCCTTCCTATTTCTAAAATTCTTGTTATTTGTCCCAGGCAAGACAAAGGAAAAAGAGAGTTACTTGCCGTTCTTCCATTGTAAATGTTCGGTGCAATCCCAGAGATGTTATTTTCACCACTAACTTGTTGAACCCACAACAATATGCTGCTATCGAAGCTGATGGGTTTGGTCATTTTGTTTGAGAATGAAGATCGATGCCGAGAGAACAAGAATCGCTAACCTGGCTATTGGACCACATTGACCACGATCAAGCAATACTCATGGAAGGAAGGTATCATATTTCGCTTGACATCTTATCTCCGATCTTAACCAAAGTCTCACTTTGAAGATTGTGACATACATATATAAAACCTGCAACAACAGATCTTAAAGGAAATGTGAACCCCTCATGAAGAGATGCTTCTTCATGATACTTTGCTGTGATTCTACTTCCCAAGCACGATAATACCATTTGTTGATTGATATCAAGAGGACAATGGATCACCAATTGTTCGGAGTTGTTGACTAGTCCTAGGCTGTATTCAATGATCTCCGGATAGCTGTTCGTAGTGGTGCACGCCTCACCTTATATGATAATGCTTTGATAGATAGCTTAACTGCTGCTGATACAACTATAACCACTGATGGTGCACATACTTTTGGTGTCCAACCTGTGAGTCAGCTATCTTATCTGTTATATTCCTATTCTTTTTTACAACCATATTATTAAGAAGCTTGTTTTCTTCACTTCAACGCTATCTCTATCAGTTCAAGCCATGGAGTACCACCGCTATCTTCTTGCCGCAGATGTCGTGGTGCTCCCCTGTCATCTTATAAATGTTCTATGGGCAGAATACCCAATTTAGACATCCCACGCCTCCAGGATTTGTTATCTGAGCCGATAGATGATCTGACTGGCCCGCATAGAGAGAGAGAGTATGGGGTTTCTTTTCTGAGTTTGATCACACACTCTCTCATAACAAAAGGTCCATTGAGAATTCTATTGCAAACATTGTGAGAGCCCAGTTTCTAGATGATCTGCCTATGTTCAAGTTTCCTGGAAAGAGACTAACCAAGAAGCTATCCAAGTTTTATTCACCCTTCAAGCATGGCATTCTGTCTCGTCCTCCACAGAATTTAGAGTTTTCTTTGCATATGCATGCCTTCCTTTGTGCAGATGTCTCTCCATTGAAAAGGTTCATTCTGATTTCATTTTCAAGCTTTCATTCTTTTCCTTCCATACTCCAGAATGCTTATTGAATTCCATTCATGAAAACTTTGATGCACTTTGGGACAGAGTTATTGACTGGCCGAGATATTGCACTTTCCTTTGGTGTTGGGAAATTCATAGACCCTGTGTTCATGGATGCATTTATCAAATGCAAAGCTGAAGATGACTTTAATGTTCGTCCTGAATGCCATGGGTTCAGAATATTCCTACAACCTCTTGTCTTGGTACATCCCCTCATTTTTCAAACTAATCATTTCAAATTTTATTTTCTGATTACAACATTGATAACAATCCAATCATCTTTGTACAGGATATTCTTAAGTCGAGACTCCGCCCGGTATTCACAAAACTTTCGACCTCGGTGCAGCCGGGACATTGTACTAGAAGCTATCAGCGATGCCTCCCCACGGCCCGACCGACAAAAGGCAAAGATGGTATGTATATCACGAGTACATTTTTTCTTTCTTTCTTTGATCGAGTAGTATCTTTGCTAAAATCGTATTTCTTTCAGTATACACATCTCGCAGATATTCCTTCCGATTTTACATCTTAGTCACTGGTCTGTATATTGTATCAATCTTGGCCAATCCCGTGTCGATGTCCTAGACTCAATGAACTATACTTCTAACAATGAGGTCACATGGGATACATATCATTCACCTATGGGCCAAATACTCATGGAACGCCTTAGTGCTGCACTATCTTTAGCTGCACCCCGCAAATTCCCCAATTTTGCAAACCTGAGACGTGTACCAATTCGGGTTCCATTTCTAAATAATCTCTGCGAGCTGGCATATTCTCCATGAAGTTCATTGAGTTCTATGACGGTGAGGGCCATGGTTCTCTGCACACTACTATAGACGGAATCCTTTTCCTTGTTAATAATATCTCTCATTTTATTTTTCTTCTGTCTAACCATTTTTTCCTTGCAGGATCGATCAAAGGAGATGAGGGCAGAAATGCTACAATTTTTAGCCTTCCATACTGCCAACAAAGTCCATGCTCCTCCTGAGCTTCTTCAGTTTCGTATTGGAGAGTTCCATCCTCTTTTTTATTAGTGGAAGGCAGCCTTATTCATGAAGGTGGTCGACAATCTAATCTTTCACAGCCTCGCCCCGTTCGGCTTACCCCATATTCGGCTTGTTCGGCTTCTTTTTTCAGCCGGAACAGTGTTTTTCTCTCACAACAAATTCAGCCATAACAGTGTTTTTCAGCCAGTTTCAGCCAAAATTCTGCCAGCCGAACGGGGCCTCAAGGTCCACTGCCAGAATGTGCATTTATTTTGTCTGACATCCCAATTCCAAGAAGAGAAGTTCATCCACAACTAGCTCCAAGCCTGGTTGGGTAGCAGCAGCTAAGGAGAACAAGAAGACCAAGGTGGCAAGTGAAGAAGCAACAGGAAACTCTAAGGATGAAGCCAAGTTATTTTAGATGCAACAAAATTAGCTGGTCACACTTTTGGACACTGAATTACACTTTATAGCTTTTGCGCAAGGCTTTGAGTAGTTCTATCTTGCTTTTTTGATCATATCAGCAGCTTTTGTAAAGTTAGAATCATCAAAACAATATAAATGCTATGCTGTGCTTATCAGGTTTGATGCATTAATTTTTTTTTGATTGAATTGTGTTGAACTGTAATACATTCAGCTAATATGGATGGGTTAAACCAAGATGGGTACTATTAAGATGCAAGAAATTCTCTATTACCTGAAATTAAATTGGATAAATTTCTATTACTTGAAAATGTTTTTCATTCTAACTAGTGTCATCCACTCCCTGGCAGCACTTACTGCTGCCCATCTTCTGAATCTAGTTGTGCAGCCACTCTTCAGGCATGCAATATGCTATTTGATAGATTAAAGCCAGTCTTGGATAGGCTGCACCAGCAATCTGAAAATATCTTATGGGATACTTTGATGTCTCAGGCAAGTTTATCTTCCTCATGTTTGTGCTAATGCTTTGTACAATACTATTTCCTGCTGTAGCATCAAAAAAAGACAACAATTTGAGCAATAAGGGCATTGATGTATTGAAAGGTAAATGTTGTGGCCGCCGGCGCCGTCCGCCAATCGCCCAGTCAATGTCGTCGTCATCGCCTCGTGGGGGTGCCAAATCCAGTTGCGGAGTGCCAGAAATAGGCATGGTAAAAAATAATATTTGCATTCAAGGGCCACAGATGGTTGCGGACCACACAATTTTGAAAGGTGAAATACTCATGAATGTAATTAATTATAAGTGTTAGATAAATGGTCATGCATGTAATTGATTATAAGATGGAAAGGCGTGTTGTTTACTTGAATAACACACAATTGTATGCATGTAATTACTGTTCATATTGTGACTAAGTTTCAAACTAGGTCAGCTTCATCAACATTTTCATCATCATCATCTGAATTCCCACGAATTTCTATGTAAGAACGGTCTTCCAACAGCCGCCTCCTTTCCATCAGCCTTTCCTCCTGCATGTTCCTATCATTTCCATGACCAGACTTGTTTTTCTTGTTCTTTGCTCCTGCAGGTCTGCCCCTCTTTTTATTCTTTTTCGCTTCAAGGCAGTCTTTATTCTTTTCCAACGTTGGGCATGTCACTGAGTTATGTGTTGAATAGAGGTGACAAACGCTGCATCTTCTGTTTCCCTTCTTCTCGCCTTGTGCTCCAAGAGTGACTTCATTCTTTTCTGATGATGTCTTGCAACATACCTTTGTCTTTGCTTGAGGTGGTCGATCCATTGAAATCCCCGTCTCCTGTGTTACGCCGACTTGTCCATGTTTTTATCATAAAAATTTGCTCAACCATAATATATTATTAATTCTTTAGTGACGGCCCAGATTATCTCACATTGTGTGCTCCTACAGTGTTCTAGACACTGGACTCCCTATTCTCTCTCCCATCCCATCTTCCTTTTCCAACTCCCTGCAGTTCAATAATCATTTACTCATTGTCAGTTAAAATTTGACACATACAATTATTATATGCACTCCAATTCCAAGATTCATCCAATTTGAATTTACCTTTGCTGCTGCTCTATCAACATGATCATGACATGTGTCAATTACTGTGCCAAGTGCATTATTTGTTTGCCTGCTCCCCTGCTATCGAAGAAAATAATATTCATTTATCACCATCGTTATTGTCACAATGCCACCTTGTTGGATGGCCCAAATAAAAATCAATTACCTGTGTACCCTCTCCGTGCCCCCACACATCATGCTGGCCCCCCCTCTCCCTATCATCTTGCCTAAATGTTTCCTGTGTTTCACCAACATTACCACAATTTTCATAAAAAAACTTTATAACTTGGAACCATTACCACACACTCTCAATTCACCATTCAAATACCTGTCCAGTTGTATTCCTTCCTGTTGCATTTGAATTTGGCCCAATGTCATGCGGGACGTCTTTTATTTCGTTGAACAGGCAATCCATTACTTCAATTGCTCTTTAGAACACAGCATTCGACATGGTACCTGCTTGCACAACTTTTGTGCTCTTGGTCAGTAGCAACTTTGTTCTATAGCTTGTTGTGTTGCCATCGGCTCCTGTCAAAAGCTTGTCTTCCCTGCTAAATGCCAATTCATTTCTTGCAAACTTGGTGTATCGCTTAAAAATGTACTTCACAGGTATTTTATCAACTTGAATGTGAATGAAGGTCCGCAGCAGATGCACGCAAAATAGGTCTACATGGTATGATTTCAACATCCTTATGACTTAGCAGAGAACACCAGTACGAGATTAAGAGATCAAAAACTAATGCAGCTTCAAATATTTATGATACCTGTGTGTTCCCACTCCCTGCACTCGCAGCTGAAATCATCGTTCTCTTTGTCTGCCCGTACTTTAAATTTGTGTTGCCCCCATGTTATCTTCGCAGTCTTGTTTGTGTGACATACTAGGTAGCAATTTCTTCCCGCTTCAGTATTGTCCTCAATCTTATATGCAGTGCAGTCTACTATTTTCTTCTCAAAGTCTTTAAACACATTTCTATTGTAAATTCTTCCCATTTGTATCCCGAATTGCCATTTGCTCTTCATAAGCGTCTTGCTCTGAATCATAAAACAACACACCTTCATTTTATATTTAACTGAAAGCAATAATGCAATATTTGACTATCATGGGTTCATATTTTGCATACCGTTCCTTGGTAAGTCTCCGCAGATTCCTTCATCTTCCTTGTATGTACAAAATTCAGCACGTGCTTCGCAAACCGGTGGAATGCTGTTTTCTTTCCCACAAAACACTTCTTCATAATAAAATTAGTGCTCTCGCTGCGCTGTGTAGAAGCCATTCTTCCACAGTATTCACCTTTGAAATACGTTGGGATATACCTGCTGCGTTGATCATAAAGGCTCTGAAGTGCACTATTTTCTTCTAGTTTAAATTCTGTTATTAGTTCCTTCCATGCCTCCTCGAACTCTCCTCGTGTTAGTGGATGGTTTAGCACAGAATTAAATTTTTCCTTGAAGTCTTCTTTCTCATACATGCTATACAATTCATTCCGGTTCGCTGATAGCTTGTTGACTACATGCCACCTGCATATTTTGTGAGTTATCCCTAGAAACTCCTTGATTGATGCTTCATTGCTGAATCTTGGTCTGCAAGTTTTGTTTCACATGCTTTCATTTAAATCATGAAAATTGACAAGTATATCATGAAACCACATTACACTTGGTTATTCAAGCAACTAAATCTATCATATAAATAACCTTATGCAAAAAAAATAAAAATTGGATACATTGCCGAATACATCTTGTTCGGTTTTTTCCCATGCATTTTTAAATGCTCTGAAAACCCACTCGAATGTTTCCATTGTTTCATCTCCGAGTAGTGCACATCCAAAAACAGTGTTATGGAGGTGATGGTCAGAGCCAACAAACATAGCCAGTGGTTTATCATAAACATTTGTTTTATAGGTTGTATCAAATGACACTGCATCTCCAAAATCTACATATTCCCCTTGCATGCTGGCATGACTCCAAAATATGCTGTGTATACATCCATTCAAGTCAACCTTTGCCTCCTAGTGGAATTGGGGGTTTTCTGCCTCACAGTCTTTGAAGAATTCCAGCAGCTTGTTGACGTCGTTTGCATGCTCCGCCCTCATATTAGCCGTCCTTCTGCAGGTTAGTCGTACATAAGCTCATCACATATCGACAAGAATTGAAAAATATATTATGTTTTGCCACTCACCGGTTTTCCAAATCTCAATCTATATTCTCCTCACCTCCATGCATATCTCTTAATATGTTTCTAATGCTATGGTTAGGAACGTCATTTGATTGTAAGTCATCAACATATTCTAGAAGCAAAGGATTCTTGTACTTGTGCGCCCTCATCTGTTTTGTTTCTGTAGGTTTTGGGAGCAACACGTGGTTATGGTTCAGTCTGACATCTGTAATCTCTACAAATTCTTCACTATTTTCTTTGTCGCGTCTAAACTTTAGCTTGATGAATGCCAGGCATGATGTCTTCTTTGTTGTCTTGCCCCTGACGCGTTTTGCCTCGTTCCCCTTGTAGTATTTACCTATTCCATAATTATTGCACCTTAAGTACCTAGTATAATCTGTTTTGTTAGCCTTCTTTGGCTGGAAACCTGCCTTCTCAACATATTTACAGTAGAATTTATGTGCTTCATCCTCTGTTTTGAAGCACATACCCATTCTAGGAATCAAAGCTTGGTCCAAGTCTTCTTTCTGTTTAAAAAAATAATTCTCATAACCATTTCAGAATTATATGCTTACCATTTACACTACTGAAACAAATAGCCTGTTTTTAAGATCTACTCAACTCAAATTACCGGCAAGGCCAATATTACACTTACATGGCTGTATTTATGCTCATCGACTGGTGTCACAATCACTGATGGGTCAACAGTTGCAGGCGGTGAGAACAAAGTTATGCTACATCCTTCTTGACCTGAATGAGAATAAAGCTTAAAATGTATGAAGCTGTACAAACCTTGAAATGGAATAACCAAGCACTAACCCTCGGGCTAGCAGCATGCTTGCGGTGTGCGGTTTCCTTCGGTGCTTCTTTCATTTGAACCATTCCCCTGGATTCCTTGATTTTCACCAACCAGTAAACTATCGACAAAGTTGCAGCATGGAGTGTCAACCTGTTGCATCCCTATATTGCATCTTGTCGCCTCTTCAACAGTGACACCCTCTTCGTTCATCTCTGGAACACATCTATTCTTTCCTACTTCATCAAATTGCAGCCTTCTCGTTGCCATCCTTATTCACAGATCAACAAATGTTTAGGGCCCTTCAAGACAATTCTACATATTAATCATCATTACTCAATGTCAAACAATTCGGAAACAAAAACTCTTGAAGCATACACCTCTCCTTTCTTTTTCTCAATCTCTTATATTTTTCTTTCCTTATGCAAATCATTATTTTTTTGCCTCTTGATGCATGCAGATTCATAAATTTCTTTCATAATAATCGGATTGTTTCTCTAAATCTAATTTTCCATCTCTCTTTCCTATGTTGCTTTCTTGCTCCTACCTGTAGCTTCAATTGGGTTGATTGGGATCAGTTGTCATTTCAGACATGGCACATGTATGCACAGAGCAGAAACTAATCTCCACAAATTAGTCAACAATCAGTCCCATTGAATGAACTGGTTCAACAATCTATAAGAGTGCATCCATAAATTGGGGACGCAATCAACAGGAAAAGAATCAATAAGAGTCTATCCCATTCACTGAACAGGTAATTCATTTTTCAGACCATAATCTAATCTCCAAAACAAATTTATGATCATGTAAGTTATTATGGACCAGAAATTGTATAGGATGCACTCCTATTGAATGAGCCGGTTCATTCAATCCGACATATTTCATCCATAATTACCTGTCCTCCATAGTCGGTTCTCTCCAATCTTCAAGACAGGGCAATCCACCGATGCCAGTTCCTTGGTCTGAGTAGCCTGCGTCGTCCCTGATCGAAGAATGAGCGCACGGTCAGGTTCTTGGGCGGTTGACGGCGACCGCTACTGCGCGACGCAGAGTTACGCGCGCACAGCGAGCGCCCGGCGAGGGCGGCCGCCACCGCACGGCGAGCGCACGGCGAGGGCTGCCACGACCACACGGCAAGCGCACGGCGGGGGCTGCCGCGACTGCACAGCGAGAGCACGGCGAGGGCTTCCGCGAGCGCACGGCAAGGGCAAGCACACTGTGGTGTTCTCGGTCGGTTAGCCGGGAATTTGACTTCCTGCTCGGAGTAGCAACCGCAAGGTGGTGTACACTGATAGGGAAGAAGGAGCGCTCTCGTTCGGATGTGTTCCTCGGACCTCGGTTTCTTGTCCTAGGCTGGGCTGCAGCGGCCTAGGTGCATGGGCGCGAGGGAGAGTTTGCACGCTCGGTCCCGACGTGGGATGCGCGTGCGCGCCTGTAGGACGCTGGGTACCAAATAACTCAGTAGTACCCGGGTACCATGTCTCTCTCTCTCTCTCTCTTTATATATATATATATATATATATATATATATTTGAGAGCCTAGGACTGTAAATAGCTATTGGAAGCCCCTAGCCAGCCACCCCACCTAGCACCCCCACACTAAGCTAGATTTGCACATCACTGTCGGCCTCATCACTGTCGGATTTATGAGAACCGGCAGTGATGTATCTTCACTGCCGGTTATGAGCTTGAAAATGAGAAAATAATTGGGTTTGGGCTAGAACCAGCAGTGAAGGACCACATCACTACCAATTTGTGGCTTTAACCGGCAATGTTTTGGCGGCCACTTATCACTGCCGGTTCAAGCCAAGAACCGACAGTGATTAGGCTCCATCATTATCGGTTCTAGTAAAAAACCGACGGTGATAAGCCTATAGCACAAAAAGGCTGCAGCCGTCCTCTTCTTCCTCCTCTCTTCCATCCCAAGAACAGAGGCGCGTGTTTGGGCCATTCCCTCCATTGTTGCGGCTGCTCTTCACCATGAAGCTAGCGCTTGGATTTTGAAGAATGGCTTGATCTTTTTGCTTTAAGGTTAGTAACAAACATCCACTACTTTGATTTTGTTGCTTAATTAGCTTCATTTTGATGGCTACATTGCTTGATTCTCATTCTAGTTCTTTCTCCATTCTAGAGAGCACTTTTCTAATTGGACATTTGTGCAAGGCTCAAATTATGGTGAATCCATCATCCAAAAGGTTGGTGCCTATGAACACATTTAAATTCCTAGCTAATTATTCCATGGTGGTCAAGATCATCATTGTTAGTATGTGATGCTATAATTAGTTCTTAGAAGTAGAGTAAAATAGTTGTTCTTCATTATTGTGCAATAATTATTTTTACTATGATTTTCAATTTATAGGGCCGAGGCAACCAATTTCAATTTTCCAATAATTAGTGTATAATGATGTTTTCCAAAAATGGTACTTTCGAGCAACAATTGTTGTTCATGAAGCTCGATTTCTTATTAATTCTTTGTAATTACTATCTCAGTATTTTTTTGTGCAGAGATGGATCGAGAGTGGATGCATCTGTCCCAAACGGACAAGCAGTACATGCATGACGTTAGCCAGTTTATCACCAATGGCAAAGTCCATGCTGGGAATGGGAACCCTATCTTCTGCCAATGCAAAGATTATAAGAATCAAAGGAACTTTCGTCAAATTGAGTCTATACAATCGCACTTGATTACCAGGGGGTTCATGCCAAACTATACGATATGGACTATTCATGGCGAGGTTAGTGTGAATGTTCTGCAGGAAAACGATGATGATGTGGACATGCCTGACGTAGCCATCCACGATGCTGACGAGGAACCCGGTGTCAACACGGAACCTATGACCATAGTTAATAATGTATTTAGGAACACGCTAGCTGACGACACCGAGGATAACGATGGCATTTCTCAGCTGCTACGTAATGTAGAGACCGGATGTCTTAGTAAAAGACAGCTGAGAAAGCTAGAGAAAATAAGACAAGATGGCAAAACACCATTGTATAGGGATTGTCCAATGAGCAAACTAGAAGCCAACATCATGCTGTTAGAGTTCAAATCGACAAATGAATTGAGCGATAATGGCTTCGATCAGTTGTTAGGTATAATAAGGAAAATGTTCCTAGAAAAAAATGAGTTGCCCGAAAAGAAACTTGGCCAAGCAAATGATCTACCCCATCGGCCTTGAGGTTGAAAAAATCCACGCGTGTTCCAATGATTGCATATTGTACCATGGAGAAAAATACAAAGACTTGGACAAGTGCCCCAAGTGTAAAGCTCCACGGTACAAGGAAGGGCCGTCAGATAAGGGTACCAAGACCAGAGGAGGTCCCATAAAGGTCGTTTGGTATTTTCCTATAGCTCCCCGGGTGCATAGGCTGTTTGCATGTGTAAAGTCAGCCAAGCTGTTGCGCTGGCATGGCGAAGAGCGTAAGAAAGATACAATGATGAGGCACCCCACCGATGGGCATGACTGGAGGACTGTCAATACTATGTTCTATAAGGACATCGGTGGAGAGGTAAGGCACCTTTGGTTTGCTTTGAGCACAGATGGGATGAATCCTTTCGACCAGGTTAGAAGCAATCATAGCACCTGGCTAGTGACGCTCTGTATATACAACCTTCCATCTTGGGTCTGTATGAAGCGGTTGTACATCTAGATGCTACTATTGATCCAAGGGCTAAGACAACCTAGGAATGACATCGATGTGTTTCTGGAACTAGTGATCGATAAACTAGTGGAGATGTTTGAAAAGGGTATGCTAGATGTTTGGGACGAGTACAAAAAGGAACATGTCATGATCAAGGGAGTACTTATCGCTACAATCACCGACCTATCAGGTCGAGGTTCGTTGTCTAGAGAGAAGACAAAAGGCTATACTGGATGTGTCGAGTGCTTGGACGACACCGATGCGGTAAATATGTCAAATAACTCAAAGATAGTTTATATGGGACACCGTAGGTTCCTACCTAAGGATCACCCTTACCGTAGGAACAGAAAAGATTTCAATGATACTATTGAGAAACGCTTAGCTCCAAAATATCAAGATGGGCCTGCGATACTTCGAGAACTCAACAAACTAGAGGTTGTCCTTGGGAAGGGGGACAATGCAGTAGCAGCGCATGATGGGAGCGTTTGGAAGAAAAAATCGGTTTTCTAGAAACTACCTTTCTGGCCATTTCTGAGTATACGCCACTGTCTTGATCCCATACACATCACTAAAAACGTGTGCGCTAACACTCTTAACACCTTGATGGACACCGGGGGGACATCGAAGGATTCACTAGCCACACACCTGGACATGCAACACTTGGGAATCAGGAAGGAGCTGCATCCCATGGAGCTAGAGAATGGCTAGTTCAAACTTTCGGTTGCGTCATGGACATTGAAGAAGGAAGAAAAGCGTTCGCTTATTTCTTTCTTCAATGAACTCAAAGTCTCGACGGGCTACTGTGCGAACCCGAAGAGGCTAGTGAACATGACAGAACTCAAGTTCAACTATGGCCCTATAAAGGCCCATGATTGTCATGTCATTATGACTCAGCTGCTCCCTGTTGCCCTACGTGGTATCCTCCCCCCAAAGGCCCCGATCATAAAGCTTTGCTCGTTCTTCAACACGATCTCAAAAAAGGTCATTGATGTGTCCACGCTAGAGCAGCTGCAGCGGGACATAGCCGAAACTCTCGCTAGGCTTGAGATGCATTTCCCGCCGACTTACTTTGATATCTCATTGCATCTGCTCATTCATCTTGTTGACCAAATTAGAGCCCTTGGCACAATATAACTGCATCAGATGTTCCCTTTCGAAAGATTGATGAAAGTTTTCAGGAGGTATGTTAGGAACAAATTCAGGCCAGAAGGGGGCATGGTTGAAGGATGGTCAACGGAGGAGACCATTGAGTTCTGCACATATTATCTAGACATCAAAAGGGTTGGAGTTCTAGAATCTCGTCATGAGAGAAGACTACGTGGCAAAGGAACGATCGGGGAGAAATACATTACAAAGAGAGGCGACCCCTGTTTCTTTTAGAAGCGAGGCATAGTTCATTTGTTCTCTAGCAAGCCGAGGGTGTGATGCCATACATTGACGAGCACGCACAGCAATCGCTCCTCCTCCTCCTCCTCCTCCTCCATCTTCATCAGCCCGAAAAAACAGAAATTCGTCGTCATCCTCCTCCCTCCTGCACCTCAGCCCAAAACAAGATCAAAGGTATCCTCGTAGTCATAGAAAAGGTCCTTGGATTCGGTCGCTAATGCTCCAAAGTGTACCAACAAGTG